TCTATCTATCTATCTATCTATCTATCTATCTATCTATCTATCTATCTATCTATCTATCTATCTATCTATCTATCTATCTATCTATCTATCGCCTCCAGTAGAGGATCCATGTGGACAGTCTCTACTGTAGGAGATTTTAAAATAGCTTCAATTACCTCCTCCACTACTGTAACAGAAGACAACATTCAGTACTGACATGGACATTGGTTTCTGGGTCATGAGAGAAAAGCAGAGGTGTTACAGCCCAAGCCCTGCTGTGATTTTCCCCTAGCAAGTGTGCCTTGTTCTCGCTCCAGCCTCAGGTGCCACCCTTCCCTGCCGCTGATTCTACTCAGCAATTAGGCCAGAGAGAGGCGAGCTCCAAAGCTCCAGTGCCAGAGAGCCTGGTGTGTCGTGGCTGCTTACTCCTGCTCTCTGGAGAGGAGGTTGTTGGTGGTGGTTTAACCTATTTAACTTTCTCTTTTGTTTTGTGACCAACTTATGTTTTCTTTCTTTTGATGATGATGGCAGCTTGACTGTCATTATTATATAAAAAGCTTTACTTTACTGGTAAATGGAATGGTAATTATATAGTGCTTTTGAGCACTCTTTTGACTCCAAGCCTTTATACACCCATTCACACCTTTTGTAAGCCTACGTGCTTTTAATCTAACATTTGCACATTTACACTACAGTGACTACACTGTAAGTCAGAGTTCAGTATGTTGCCCAAGGGATATTTTTACATGCAAACTAACCTTTTGATTTTTAGATGACCCCCATTACCTCCTGATTAACAGGCATCCAAATCTTGCCTCTTTGTCTTCTTTTTTTTCAACAAAGACATTTTTTGTTACCTCCCCGCATCCCCTGGACTTTTAGGGGAATGTAACAAGAGGTCATTTCCGCAGGGAGGTGGACGACATGTTCTGTGGACATCAGCGTGACTAATGAGATAAACTGGGAATCCACCGTTCCAGGATAGCATTATTTTAAAACCGCCTTCTTCTTCCCACCGAGCCTCGGCTTTTTCTCTCAGGATCATATTCAATTACTGTGTATTTCAGACGGAGGAGAACAAAAACATGCTGTGGATCAGGCAGGCTTGTAGAAATACAGCATCATGGCCTGTGAAAGCACCAGACTTCAATAAGGATTTGTTGTTATAACCAACGGCACTTTTCTTAGACCATTATAAATCATATATACTTTTTTAAAAATCCTGTGGTTTTGAGCTGTAAACGGGCTGCCCACACTGAAAGCAGACCAAAAGTAGAGGTACAGGTGTCAAAGCAACAGCATTGGCTTTTCTAGTTGAATGTTCCGCAGTGCAGAGGAATGAATCTTTGAAAAGCCTTGAGAAAACCTGGGAAGCTCTGTCATTCAATTATCACCTTTAGTGCAGAAAGATTGTGCTTCCTATAATCTCAGAACTAAAGGGTGCGTATCAGTTAGCTTCAGTGAGAGATGGTGTTGTCACACAGTGGACTCATTGTCCTGAAAGTCTGTCCTGCAAGGCACACAGGGCTCCTTTGTGAAGTGCAGATATTAATCTGCGTAGGCAGAAATCTGGAGGAGTCTGACTAAGCTCACATACAACCACACACATCAGTGCGCACATAGACAGACACAGACTAAGCCATATGCATATTCATTATGTAACAGGAAAAAAGGATGCTGTGTCCACTCCCGTGCAGCTTGCCCATCATAAAGATTTCATTCTTCTTTGAACAGATTCAAACTGCAAGCCTGCTGTCACCACTGTAGACATTAAGTGTCATTGCCAGATGTCATTGCAATGCTCTAACCAGGTTTCATCATCGCCAAGTACAAAGCGGACACAGTTCCTCTCATAGTCTAGTGTTTTTTCCTGCCAGTCCAGTGACGGCATTTTGTTTCTACCTCGTTTGCATAACTCACATTGTAAGAAACTACATTCTGTGACCACAAGTTGACAGAGTCTAAATCCCACAAATGAATGAATGACATCTAAGTGCAAAGAACATTTTCCAGTCAAAATAGCTTGAACAGTTTGGAGAGGCTCAAAATCGACATTATTAAAACATGTAAATTGTCTCGTGGTGGAGTCTAAGTGCGTATATCTTCAAACACCTTTTTTATAACATTTACTTTAGGGAATAAATAAAGAAATAAAACAAGATTCAAACATCTGAACATCACAAAATGTGGGATCCTATTTGAGACACCTTTAAACAGTGTAAGACGTAAATAATTTGTTTTGAGCCTTAAAGTGTTTTAGCCTAAAAGAAAACTAATTCTCAAGTTGAAAATGAAATGTTATTTAAAAATACATATTAGATATCTGCTGCCATCTAGGGTTGTAAAAAGATTACAGCACTGAAATAAAACCTGAGAAAATCCCGAGCATGTAATTTGGTC